GACAGAGGGAGACTCCAACTCAAAAAAAAAAAAAAAGAAATTTACATACCCAACAATACATGAATAGCAAAATAAATATGATAAAATGTAAGGCAGCAATGTAAGACATATTGAAGAATGCTTAATGACATGGAAAAATGCTCACAGTAAGCCAACAAAGCTGTCAGGTGCAGTAAGTAGTTCAAGCCTGCAATCCCAGTTCTTTGGGAGGCCAAGACAAGAGGATTGCTTGAGGCCAGGAATTCAAGACTATCCTGGATAACATAACAAGACCCCTTTCTACAAAAAGAAAAAAGAAAGAAGAACCAAAGAAACAAAGAAAGAAACAAAAGGAAGGAAGGAAGGAAGGAAAGAAGGAAGAAGGAAGAAAGAGGCCGGGCTTGGTGGCTCAACCTGTAATTCCAGTACTTTGGGAGGTAGAGTTGAGAGAATTGCCTGAGCCCACGGGTTTGAGACCAGCCCGGGCAACTTGACGAGACCTTGTCTCCACAATAAAATAAAAAATAGCTGGGCATGGTATTATGCATCTGTAGTTCCGGCTACTCTACTCGGAAGGATCACTGGCGCCCAGAAAGTTGACACTGGGGTGACCGTGAGTGTGTGCGCCACTGCACTCCAGTCTGGGCAAAGGAATGAGACTCCAACTCAAAAAAAAGAAAAGAAAAGAAAAGAAAAGAAAGAAGAAAGAAAGAAAAACATTAGCCAGGTGTGTAATGCCTGTAGTCCCAGCTACTCCAGAGGCTGAGGGTGGAGAATTGCTTGGGTTCAGGAGTTTCAAGCTGCAGTGAGCTGTGGTTGTGTCACTGTACTCCAGTCTGGGCAACAGAGTGAGCCCCGTCTCAAAAAAAAAAAGTCAACAAAGCAAAATATAAGACTGTATATAGCTGGGCACAGTGGCTCACACCTGTAATCCTAGCACTTTGGGAGGCTGAGGCACGAGTATTGCTTGAGCCCAAGAACTCCAGACCAACCTGGGCAACATAGCAAGACCTCATCTCTACAAAAAAATTTTAAAATTAGCCAGGCACGGTGGCACGTGCCTGTACTCTCAGCTACTCAGGAGGCTGAAGTGAAGGGACTACCTGAGCCTAGAAGGTAGAGGCTGTGGTGAGCTGTGATTGTGCCACTGCACTCTAGCCTGAGTGACAAAGTGACACCCAGACAAAAAAACTGCATATATGTATGATTCCTATTCTGTTGATTTTAAAAGTTTTAGTTCATAAGGTGCTTTTTTTTTTTGCGTTGGAGTCTCACTCTCACCCAGGCTAGAGTGCAGTAGCACACTCACAGCCATCCCAGCATCAACCTGCTGAGTTCCAGTGATCCTTCTACCTCAGCCTTCCAAGTAGCCAGAACTATAGGTGCTCGCTACCATGCCCAGCTAATTTTTTGTTGTTGTTGAGATGAGGTCTTGCCAAGTTGCCTGGGCTGGTCTTGAACCCCCTGGCTCAGGCAATCCACTCGCCTCGGTCTTCCAGTGTTGGGATTACAGGCTGAGCCATCAAGCCTGACCCTTTTTTTTTGAGTTGGAGTCTCACTCTGTCACCTAGGCTGGAATGCGGTGGCATGCTCACGGCCACCCCAGCATTGACCTGATGGGCTCTGGCAATCCTTCAGCCTCAGCCTTCCAAGTAGCTGGAATTACAGGCATGCACCACCATGCCTGGCTAATTTTAAATTTTTATTGTAGAGATGAGGTTTATTGTAGAGATG